AATGACTTCATATAGGAAAAAAATAAATATCACATATGCAGGACACCTTAAACTAGTTTTTTAATTAAGCAGCAAGGCAGAACAAAGTCAGGGCTGTATCAAGACACAGGGACTAAACCCCAATTCAACCAGACCCAGAACTGATCTGGAAGTAAAACAGGACTACAACAGTAAATCAGGACTACTTAGGACTTAACCAAAACAGAACCAGAATCAGAACTAGATGATAGCAGCACTAAAAATCATCATAGACCTGCACTACACTTATTGTTTAATTCTACCAAAGTCCACTATTTAGATTCAGAAACGTTTATATAATTATTTATCCTCGTTGTGCAAACAAGCTGCAAAACTTAATAAATATAGAGTTTGAAAAGTAACAAATGGTATCTAAAAAGTTACACTAGGCACTGGATACATGTTCTGATGAGTTTTGGCAAACAACCATTTGACTAACATGTGTGTCTCTCTGTGTGCTGACAATCAAGCCAAACACCAACATCATCAAATATACAGTTGAAACCAGATATTTACTCTTCAGATAAAAACACTTTAATTGTAACATCAAATCAAACTAAATGTTTATTTTTTAGATAAATATAAAAACATATTTGTTAACTTTAAGAGTAAAGAGAGTAATCGTCTGTATTTCTTAACTGTAAATGGCACCAAACTGTATTCAAACTGAGCCACACTTATGGAGCTCCACAACTCTGTTCCTGGTGTTTTGTTGAAATCTCTTGATGTTCCCATGTCACAGAAACAGCCTCTGTGTTTTGCCTTATATGCATCCACAGCTGTGCCACCAATTTACTCACATGGACTCTACGAACCAATCAGAAGCTTCTTCAGCTCAGAATGGAGCCGTCTGGAGTTTCTTATAATGAACAATAAACTTAGTGTATATGAACTCCTACATTTGATGAAAGCTCCCTCCTTTTATTCTGACATTTAAAAGTCTCAGGTACATCAAAGTGCTTCACAGACGAGCCACATTTGTGGGGTTACAGCAGTAAAGGAGCAGGAAATACAATTATCAGCAAAAGAAATACAGTTATAAAAGGGTGACGTGACAACAAGCATGAACCGGGGAAAAGTTAAAAACTAAGTTGTTTGGAAGGCTTAAACAGGTGGGTTTTTAAATGTGATTTAAAGGATTGGATGGATTCTGACGCACGGACATCAATCGGCAAGCTGTTCCAGAGTTTTGGTGCGGCAAAAGCACGACCCCCCCACTCTTCCGTCGAGACACTGGTTGCATTAAGAGCCCCTGGTTAGAGGATCTGAGAGCTCTCGTGGGGATGTATTGGTCAAGGAGGTCAATTAAGTAACTGGGTGCCAGGTTATTTAAAATTTTAAAAGTGTATAAAAGGATTTTAAAAACGATACGGTATTTGACAGGAAGCCAATGAAGGTTGGCGAGGGTGGGTGTGATATGGTCATGTCTTCTGGTGCCGCTTAAAAGGCGTGCTGCGGCATTCTGGACTAGTTGCAGTCGTTGGATGAGGGAAAGCTGGAGGCCTAAATAAAGAGAGTTACAGTCGTCCAATCTCAAAGTTACAAAAGCATGAATGAGCTTTTCAAGGTCATTATGTCGTAAGTAGGGCGTGGCCTTAGAGATTTGGCGCAGTTGGTAGAAGCTGGTTTTCACCACTGCAGCCACTTGCTTGTCTAATTTGAAGGAACTATCCAGCACTACTACAAGGTTTCTGACAGTAAACGATAGATGACTGGCAGAGGATCCCAAGGTATCGATAGCTGTTTCAAGGGCATGTGACTGTCAAAGATGATAATTTGTTTTGTTTTCATTAATCTCCAACACTATGAATGATCAGTCAGCTCAAACAAGTTCTCAGTCTTGTATCATCTGAAATCATGTTCTGTCTCCCATAGTGTACGTGATCCTTCAGCACTGCTTAAAAGACGGCTGCTTGCCTTTCAGGATGAGGAGTTGCTCCCAAATGTCACAAACTGTACACACCTTGCCTTTAAGTCCTGCAGTTTTTAACTGTCTCGTTTGGAAGACTGCTGCAGATATCTATATACCTAGCACTAACTAGATTAACTGCAACATAAGCAGTGAAACTTCTCTCCTTACACAAACCCTCTTACACTAGAGTACCAACCTTTGTGCAGCGAAGCTCAACTAAACCAACATCTTCATTTCTACAGAGGCAGTAAATCACAATACTTCTGGAATCCAGCATATCTGGTTGTAGACGTGGTGTTGGCACAGATGATGTAGTCCTTTTTACTACCAGTTAAAACCTGTGAAATTCCACCTTTTCCAGGATTCCTGCTGTTCTTTTATAATTGTAATATACCTCAGTAGACCTTATATCTCAAGCCTCAGAGGAGAATGTGAATGGACTGCAACCAACAGAGGCCATTTTTAACTAATTTACTTTCACAAATGTTAATGTGAATCCTGCTGTTAATGCTGAAGACACGCCCCATCTTTGCGCACCTGTGAACCTGACCCCTCTGTGCTTGAATCTTTCCTCTCCATGTGCCACTAACAGGTGAGCTGCTTTGGTTGCAGATTGTTCACTTTGACCCCTTGAGGCCAAATGTGTGAGGTCTACCTGTTAAGCATGTAACATGTGTCTAATATATACAAATACAGTCAAGTCCCTGATTTGATGAATACTGAAATAATGATCAAATAAAACGCACTGCAGTGTTTTGGGTTGTTTGGTTCTCTGAAAATCTTTTCTTAAAGTGGATTATTTATATTCACCCTTACTATCCTGTGTTTGACTAAAAGACGAAAAGCTTTGGAAGGATTTCCTTCCCATCCTAAAAATCACCATTTAATCAATCGGTCCGTAAACGTCGGGGAAACAGAGCCAGAACATCGTATTTTATGCCAGCCGCTGGTGTTGGTGGAAGCAGTCTGTAACACTGTGATACTGACAGACCCCCTGTTGAGGAATGCACTCTTCCCACCTTTTTTAAGTCTACAGGCCCGACTGGAGGACAAGATATTATTATAGTATACAGAGAGCAGTGGGACACTGCAGAAGAAGTCATAGAAGTAAAAGAAGATCTCATTTGATCACATAGGTTTAAATAACACTAAAAAAGATGAACAAGAATGAGACAGGGAATCGTGAACGTTGTGGACCACAGGAAACATTTGAACATGTGATGTTGGAATATGGTAAACATAGATGGGAAAGGCTAATGCTCAAATCTGAATTGCAGAAGAATAGAGTTCAATTAAGGGTAAAAGAAATATTTCAAAGGGACACAGGTGGTGTAGTTTATAGGGAAATATTTATTTTTTTGTTTGTTTTTCATATTTTTATTAGGATGTTTTTCATAGTAACAGACAAAGACAAAAGAAAACCAGAACTTAGCTCAGGCTGTTTTGAGGCACATACAAGGCAGTTGAGGTAAACCACAACCCCTCCAGGAATCAAAACAAATCACAGTAAGACCAACAGTCAGGCAAATTAATTCAGTTTGGGAAAGCCCCGCAACAAGGAGGATGCCAGTACAGGTCCAACGTAGAGATGGGTCCCAGGTCTGTGGAAAGAGTCCAAGGTGGAGTTGAGCACACGAGTTATATATTCATTGGGAATACAGTCCATACAATGTTATGCCAGGATTTCCTAGTTGGGATGGCTAGCCTGCCCCAGAGGAGCAGGATATTCTTTCTGGATGAAAAATAACAGCTGGAACAGCCTCTTGTGTTTGCCTTTGAAAACCAGATTGTCCATTACTCCCAGTATAAGAACTAGAGGGTCCAGAGGAACAGCAGGAATGAAAATAACTGAAAGCACCTTTGCAACATCAGACCAAAACTTTAGAGTTTTCACACATGACCAAAAACAATGCATAAAGTCCCCCCCGCAATACACTTCCACCATACAGGGGAGGAGTTTACATCTGTTTTATAGAGGGTGTGATGTATGCACAATCAATACATCACACAATTTTGAACTGAAACGATTTATCCTGGTTACAGACAGATATCCTAGAGGCACAGGCACAAATCTCCTGCCAGTCTGGACCATTTATAGAGCGGCCTAGGTCTCTTTCCCAAGCCTGCTTAGCAGCCAGGAAGTGAGGGGCTGAGCCGGAGTTAAGTATCCTTTAAAAGGAACTAATGGAAATATTTGGGTTTTTAAAGAGCAATAAGTATTTATATGAGACCATAGGTGTAAAGGCTGTTCCGATCCACACTCCAGCCCAGAAGGTGGCGGTAATGCGCCTGAAGTTTGACAAGATAGACGAAGAAGAAGAAGAGAGGGGATACCTACCTTGGCACGACACCTGTCGGATAGTTTGCTTTTTTGTTTTAAACTTTATTTAACAAACAATGAGTATACAACATACGAACAGATGAAGTATACAAAACAACAGAACATGAACACAAAAAGCCAGGGGTAAAAGAAAAAAGTAACAATTATAAGAATACACGCAAAAATTCACATACAGATATTGTTTTGAGAGCCTTTTTGTTGGTGGAGTCTGATATTGATTGTATGTACATTTCCACATCCTTAAAAAAATGACAGAAATATGGTGTTTTGTTAGTGAACTTACATTTATGGATAAAAAATTTAGCTAAAAGTATTAACAAATTTATCATAAAAAAACATTTATCATACTTCTTGGGGAACTTAAAGAAACAGAATAAAACATTTTCCCATCGTAAAGAAAACTCCCTTAAAATATGGACAATAACAAACCTGCTAAATTCCTTCCAGAGTCTCTGTGTAAGAGAACAGCACCAAAAAAGATGTGTCACAGTTTCTGGATGATCCCCACAGAAAGTACAATTAGTATTTATGTCCCTTTTAAATTTTACCATGTAGTGACTGGCTGGATAACATTTATGTATAATTTTAAATGAGACTTCTTTCACCTTATTCACAATCAAATATTTATGGGGGATCATCCAGACTGTCTTCCACTTGAGTCGGATAGTTTGCTTGTTACACTTGTTTGAAAAAAAAAAAAAAACCCTGTCGGATAGTTTTTTTGTGTAAGCTGATTGGTGAACAAGTCGAATAACCACTTCCTATTGGTTTACTGTAGTGACATCATCGCGCACTTATTTGAATGACGGAAGGAGCATATTTTCTGTGTGAGATGTCTAAAAATTAGCCAAGTGTACATCAACAGCTGGTAACTTATACTAAATTAACCAGCCTTCTTTGTTCACTACGGTAATATTTGCTAAGCTAACGTTCAGGGCTAACGCTAACTTGTTAGCTAGTGCTGCTAACACAGTCTGTGCCTGTTTGCTCGATTAATATTTTTAAGTGGACGTTTATTTATCGACTTTTTACAGGAAATACTTACAGTAAGGACTTAATTTAACCACTTTAGGAAGTCTAAGGTGAATGAACGTGAATGGCTGATTAAAGAATACGTTAAACGAAGGTTACTGAGTTGTGTTGAGACGCCAAAAGAAGAGCTGAAGCCCTTTGGACACTTGTTGATCTCTTTCTGCAGACTGAACCGATGAAACAGGTAAGCTCCGTTATTAAAACAGCATGATGACGGTGGTCCGAGGCTGCTGGGTTGTTGGATCGCCTTTCATACACTGCTTAGCGACCGCTCTCAGATACACGAGCTGCATTGTTAATGAAAGCTGGGTTTACGTTGAGTGGGACGTTTTTACGCGTGGATATGGACTTCAGGACTACTTGTGCTTTACAGTCAAGAAATCAAACATATGTTTATCTGTGGAGCTACAAGCAGTTTCAGGTAGAGCTGTATTTGTGTTGACTGGAAAGTGTTGAACTCGGCTGTCAGTGACGCTTTGTGTGTGTTGCAGCAGGAACAAGTGGAGTGGGATGACGTGAACAAACGTTTACAACATCATGGCTTTAAACCGGTGTTTTTTGCAGATCCCGCTGAGAATAAGAGTCCTGCAGGTAAGAAGAAAAGCACGAGACTTTATCAAAGGTCACGTGTTACGGTGGTCGAAAGTGAACAATCGTATCAGGCTGGAGACTGTAACAACTATAGATGGAAACAAAAATCAGAATTAAAGAGGCTGACTAAAATTAAAGTGGCTCAACAATATAGTTACTGTGTTAAATGTCAATAGATTTAATTTACATGCAACTTTAAATGAAAAGAATGATTTAAATGGTCTTTTTGTTGTTTACTTGTTTATAAATTCTACTTTGAGTTTTAAGCAAAAATGTTTGGCTTGTCAGTGTGATTTTATGAGTAATGTATTCGCTGTCTGTGTGTTTGCAGATTTGGTCCTTCTGGACAAGAAGTCGGCTGCTGAGCTGAGGACAACTCTGAGGGTGATGCTCACAGACTCAGAGAGAAGGCAGGCCCTGATCCAGGAGCTTGTCATGTCCAACAACCAGCTCAAGTAAGTTCAGCACCATGTAAGAAACACTCTAAATGGTGCTGGGATGTTATTTAGTGATGTTTTCAGTGAAACATGTTCGTAACTATCTGTTTAAACATGGACACTGTAAATAGCCCCCCACCCCAAGGACATTATTGCAGTTACAAATGTCATCTCACCGGACTGAACCTCAGACTGTCCTGTGACGTGGCTAGGAGAGCTGGGGTCTGTTTCAGTGACACATGTGCAATGCTACTGGTGGATATCAATAATGTATATGCAGTGTTGTGTAGACCACCTGTCCTGCTGTCATTTAACCTCTCCAACATCAGATGAGTATCAGGAACGCACATTTCTTGATCCTCACAGACCAGTACAGGCATGAAATGTGAGACTGGGAGGCACACTGCTGAGATGGAGTCTGTATGGAGCGTGTATGCTCACCAAGTGCCGGCCAGTTTCTGTTGGTGCTTGGCTTTTCTCCAACAGTTCAGCTCTATTCAATTCGGTTTTATGTTGATAGGGCCAAATGATAAGTTTCCTCAAGACGCTTTATATTGTCAAGCAAAGACTCCAAATTAGAGCAGAGAAAACCCAACAATCATATGA